TCCCCATTCGGAGGGGGAGTTTAGTTTCTTACTGAAGGGTTAAAGCACTTGAATGAGACAATAAGCTAACCCCCCGAAGGGGGGTTAGTTGCGTTTTATCCCCCCGAAGGGGGGATTGGTCAAGTGTTTTAACCCTCCATTCGTGGGGTTTGTTTAGTTTCTTACACAAGGTTTATTGCGTATTACAAACTTGACCTCCCCCCCTCCGAGGCGCTCCGAAAGGAGCGCTCTGCTCTAGTCCCTATAAACTTTATAACACTACTCTAGTTTATTCTATGAATGAAGCTCGATTTTAAAACATAACTTTTGACCATACATTGAAGAATAATATACTTGTAACTGAAGATTTCCGTCTTCTGGGTTGTTGCGCTGTGTAGTCTGGTAGATGTTTACCAACATTTCAGAGGTCATTCTGCCTTCATCATCAGGGCGATGGGTATGAAGATTTCTGTCTTCTGGGTTGTTGCGCTGTGTAGTCTGGTAGATGTTTACCAACGTTTCAGAGGTCATACTGCCTCCGTCATCAGGGCAATGAATCCAGAAGACAGAAATCTTCATACTCATAGTTGTGAAAACTTCAAATCTCACATACTTGTAACCGTTCAGAAGTGGAATAGTTTTCATTTATCGTAGCTTATATGACGTCAAACACAAATATCAACGAACACAATTAACGTCATTGTCACGAAACACTCAGAATGCAGTAACAATGTTGATTGATTCTGGAAGGCAACCGACACGTGTTGTTTCGAGATAACCAAACAATGGGTGCCACACGAGGAAATCGTAAATACAGTCATTACCCCCACCATAACCGACTACTAATCTTTTCATTTATGAATTTCTTACGATTCTCAGTATAAACAGCGATTGTTTCTTGTAAAGCAGAGATCCAGAAACTTTTCATTATCGCTGACCGCACTAGCTACTCGTATCTTCGTCGAAGGCCGCATAAAAATTTAATAATGTGGACAGTAAGCGAAATTGTATTTATTTAATGTGGCATTCACTTGAAAACGGATAACAACTGTATTTATTCATCACCTGATTTCACAGCGAAGACGGTGTTTGTCAACTTTAAAACAGTTTTGCTAATTTTATAAAACTTCAGTTATTAATTTCACAATGACTGTCATATTGTTTTGTTAAATTTCTTATGACCTGAACAACTGAACAATGGACTTCGCACTATTTTCACGTTATAGGCTTACGTCTACAAAATGTTTGTTTTATCTACATACTCTGCGTCCAGACCGATTCTGGGGCCCACCCAGCCTCCAATCTAATGGGTACCGGGATCCTTTCCCGGGGGTAAAGCTTGGCCGGGGCGTGATGCTGATCAGTTACCCCCATCTAGTGCCGCGGTCAAGAACTCCTCCAGGCGCCTACATGGCATATAATGGGACAGCTTTACTTTACTTAATTTACTCCTCAGTAGCAGAAAATATTTTTCCTTCTCGTGTTGACTAATCCCTAGTTCATTTTGATCGTCATTAGATAAATACTAAGTAGGAGTATGCTAACCAGCTGGCCACTATGTTCGGTGGGCTTAATAAGCAAGAATGACTGGAATTCGATTATTTTATGAAATAGCGCAATAATATGTTGTTTCAATTATTCATTAAGTACCGTTCTCCTGTGTAACGTTTGTTAAAGATCTTATTAGCCGAGTACCAATTAAACTCATGTAAGCAGTTGTAAAAATTGTAACAGCGAATTATTTGAATGCAGGGACTTGAATCACTTTAAAACCAGTTACATTATTATATTCGTGTGCCGTCAAGGCAAATAAGAGAATTTTCTACGTTTAGTGTGTGCAGTGCTTAGACAGGTGTGTCATTGCTGCAAATGACGTACATAAATTTTTGGACGTGTTTGGTATAAGCATTGTTTCTTTTGAGGGCACTTTCTCAATAAGAGAAATGACTTAGAAAGTGGCCTTGATTGGATCTAGCTTGGTTATTTGTTTTAATTTTATTTTTGTTTTTATTTTTTCCTTGTATTTTATTAGTGTTTTACATTTATACTAGTGTTTACCTAGGTAGATTATTTCCTTCTTATCAAATTTCTATCTTTGTATTAGTGTTTGCCTGTCATAGGCTCTTTGCTGTTGGCAAACACTTAACAAAGTAATTTAACTATTATTATTATTATTAGTGTTTTATTAGTGTTTACTTTTTACTTATTAATTATTTTGTAATAAATTAATTTTGTATATTGTTATTATTTTATTTCTCTGTATTGTTTTAGTATTTTTAGTGTTTTACATTTATATTAGTGTTTCGTTGTTATTTGTTTTTGTATGTAATTTGTATTTTTGTTTTAGTGTTTGCCTGTCATAGGCTCTTTGCTGTTGGCAAACACTCCAATAAAGGAATTGAATTGAATTATTTAGGTATCGTATTTATCCAATTTATTTGTAAAATATGATTCAATAAATGAATCTAATTATTATTATTATTAATATGGTACATTTATATATTTAGTTTCATTTGTTTGTTTTACTGTTATTATTATTGAAATAAATTAATTACTTATTATATGTTATCCTGTACTCTGGTTTAGTGCTTGGCTGTTATTGGCCTTTTGGCTGTTGTCAAGCACTTAAATAAATGATTTGAATCGAATTATTAGATAATTACTTGCTTAAAGAATGAATAATTATTAGTAATATTAACATTTCATAGGATCAAGTAATTTGTAAGATAATCTATGATAAACACGCTCTTCTCCAATGTGATATATTTCTTTAGAAACTTATAACGCAAAGCTAAGCTTACTGCCTATTGTAACTCACTACTGTTAACTGGAAGGTTGAAACGTCATAAAAATTTCAGAAATTCATAATAAAGCGCATGTTGGCAAGTCTCGTACTAAACAATGCGGAACACACGATTTTATGTCAAATCTGTAATATAAATGAAACGTTACTTATTTTTCTCAAGCTAAGTAACATAAAAGGAATACAATTTATGCCTGTAAGCTTCAGTACTCCAGAAATGTACAAACAAGCAAGAATATAAGCTCTTTGACATAGGATTATAGCAAACATGGACGAACCCGTGTGTTCCTCGGGGTGTTTTTCCTTTTGCGATCAGCAACAAAGAAGTCACACTCTTTTATTTTGTTCACTTATTATCAAAACTAAGCAAGACTGAAACTGAAGTTCTCACCTGAAACGCCAGAGGTTATGATGAAATGAGATTATGGGGATTTAATGTTTATGTATATCTTCTGAAAGAGTTTTGCAAGTAAATAGAATGGTTGCTTTGACTCATTAGCGGTTTATTGAACTAAAACAAATATTCCATTGCGTACAGATGGAAAATTTTGTTTTTATGTCATGTTACTGTGTTATGCTATGTTATGTTGTGCTGTATTACGTCAAGTTAATATTTCACATGTCGCACAATAAACATCGAAATCTGAATCAGATATAAAACCTTATCATTTAACAAGGATTTCGAGACATAATTACGTTTCTGTGAGAGTAATACATGTTTCAAGTAGTGACAACATTGATTCATTCACACTTTCAACGTTATGCATGACAAATATCTTCAGAAATATACAAATTTTTGTCTAGAACTTTTGATGTTTGGCAAGACGAATGAGAACAATATCTCCCTCCCTCTCCAGATATTTGATGGAAACTTTGAAACTACCTTCAGGTTTCCTGCAACGAAAACACACATTAATATAAAATATTCTAACCGAAGAATGGGTTTACATTTGTCAGAAACCCAGCTGTAAAGGATTATTCACATTGACTTGTTTAATATTTATATACGTCACGATGGCTTAGACATAGGCCTGTAGCCGGGATCGCAGA